CAAAGTGAAATTCCCCCATAGGGAACACCGTTTTGCGATCGCTTTTGCGATTGCAAAACATCGACATCTAGCGATTTCGGAGCGCCTGTTAAGCGAGGCACCACTGTCTGATGTCTAGTGATTTCGGAGCGCCCGTTAAGCGAGGCACCACTGTATCTTGGGAGATGGTGAGCACTTCAACACTGTAGGCATTCCAGAGATATAGGCCCTTTCCAACTCCATTATTCTATGATTCTATGACACTTAGGTCTGACAGTTTCACAGTAGGGTATAACAAGAAATTAAACTTACAGTATATACATAGTTCCCCAGATTAAAATACATGGGTTAGAATCCTATGGCCTAGCATAAATAGTGTAGCTTGCAACCAAACCTTGGTGCAAGTTATAAAGTCATTGTTCAAATTTGTTTTTGCGTACTGAATTGCACAATAAACAGTGCCTGCATAGACTTTGCAACTTGCAGCAATTTGTGGCCAAACATTACACCAATAGGATTTTGGTGAATATTTAAATTGTCCATGAAAAAAATGTTAGACTACAGATGGAAGTTTTAGGTAAGTTTCCAGTATATCATTATCAGTGCAATCCTAACTCAAAGATATGCAGATGTGTTATGTAGGGGGCCGCTACATAACACCCAGTTCAAATCTCCTGCAGCCCAAGATCACAAACACAATCCTGGCACAACATTAGGCCAAGAATTGGTAACCATAACCAATTTCTAATGTCCTTAGGAGTGGGTTTGAGTTCAGCAAGCTTTGGCTGGATTTAAGCCATTGTGGTGACTTAGGACTGCACTCAAAAATGAAAAGTTATTGGAGCATGTTGCATGCAGAGATTTATAGGTAAGTTTCCAGTATATCATTACCAGTGCAATCCTAACTCAAAGATATGCAGACTGCATATGTGTTATGTAGGGGGCCCCTACATAACACCCAGTTCAAATCTCCTGCAGCCCAAGATCACAAACAGAATCCTGGCACAACATTAGGCCAAGAATTGGTAACCATAACCAATTTCTAATGTCCTTAGGAGTGGGTTTGAGTTCAGCAAGCTTTGGCTGGATTTAAGCCATTGTGGTGAGTTAGAACTGCACTCAAAAATGAAAAGTTATTGGAGCATGTTGCATGCAGAGATTTAAGTTCTGTGTGTAACAAGTGCCAGAGGATGCAGTGATCTCAGCTGAGCAACTTGCAGAGCAGTTCTAGGGAATATGTGGCAAATTTAAAAAGACCTTAAAGCTAACCCACTGCATAGCCAGTGAAATTGCATTAAGAGCCGTGCAATGATAGGCCACCCCACTCCCAAGCAGCTCTGAAGGCCCAGTTGTAACCTGCAACTTCTAGGAAGTTAAAAATCTCAATATTCCATACTCTGAATGTTCACTCTCCCACTATTTTAAAGATACCTTATATTGCATTCTCTCTCTCTCTCTCTCTCTCTTTCTCTCTCTCTCTCTCTCACACACACACACACACGCACACACACGCACACACACACACGCACACACACACACACACACACACACTCTTTCTATGGCATGGGAACATACTGCTGAAAGAAATTTAGTACATAGCTAGTCACTTTCCCTCACCTGCCGCTAGTGCACTTTCAGTGGATTCATGCACTTTATGGAAATTATCGTTTTTTAAAGAACGAACAAAATGCTTATTCACCAATCAGATTTTTTAAAAATGGAAAACTTAAAGAAGTTTATTATTAATTTTTGCTGCAAAAAAAACATTAGGGCTTATTTTCAGGGGATGTTTTATTTACAGTCATGTCATTTTCAGGTTGCTGCACAATGCTGCACAATGGTGGAGACACGGGGTTTCACTTAACTAGGGCTTATTTTTGGGGTAGGGCTTATATTATGGGCATCCTGAAAAATCATACTAGGGCTTATTTTCAAGTTAGGTCTTATTTTCGGGGAAATAGGGTAGTTGAGTCCTAAGCGGACTGGATAGCTTTGTGAATTAGGTATATTGGGGTGTTCGGTTCCAGACTATGTAGCACTGGGAATGTTGTGCAGTCCCAGTATGCCCCAAGAGGAAGGGAAAGACAAACCACTTCTGGTATTCTGTACCTAGAAAACCGTGGAAGGACTCACTATAAATCAGAATTAATCTAATGGCACATTGCTACTGTTGATCACTGTGTCCTGTTATTTCAAATCTTTTGCTCAACATATGAACACATCAGCTAACAACAAGGGGAGGGAAGCTTCCATCAGTCTGAGAGGAAAAAAATAAATGTCATATCAATGAATCCTCTGATTTTTTTTCTTCTTCTGTGATAAAAGACTCACTAGTGCATAATAATCCATATGTTGAAAATCTCAAGTGTTACATCTGTTACATACATTTTCTTCTCTTTTTTAACCTTAAAAAAATGACCATAACTCAGCACAGAAACAGACATGCAGAAATACATCTGCATTTGGTATTCAACTGGTTAATTATTCAGTGCAGACACTTGATGAATGGCACCGATACAGTGCAGGCACTTGATTTGTGGCACTCTGATAATAGTAAATATAGGAACTTCATTCCTTGAAGGATTGTGACTGATTCAAAAAATAAAGGAACTTCATTCCTTGAAGGATTGTGACTACCTGGAAAACCATTCAAAGTGTCGCTATAACTCAGAATTTATTTGACGGCACATGATTCCCAGTATGGTGTAGTGGATAGTGTGACAGACTAAGACTCTGGAGAACAGGGTTTGAATCCCCACTTAGCCATGGACGTTCATTGGGGGAGTGGAGCTGGTAAAACCATTCCTTAAATATCTCACTTATCTTGAAAGCCTTTGTAGAGTTGCTATCAGTTGGTTCTGATTTCATGGCACAGAATACAAACAGTGAGACTACACGAGTGGAATAATTTTCAGACGTTGGAAATGGTTGATGAACTTCTTTCCAATGATCTGTTATTTATGAATGTTGCTATTAAACTGCCATGAGCCCTTCGACAGGCATAAGCTTGCGCCCTCTCCCTGGTGTCCCTTCAAGAGACAACCAGTTCTTCTTTCTTTTTAGGCAGAATTTCAGTAATAACTAGAGAGAACAGCTGAGTTTTGCTGTGGAATGCTGTGCCTTTCATGTATTTGTGTGTTTTAAGTGTTTTTAAATTGCTTTTAAATTTGAAGTCTTTTAATATAGTTGTATGTTTAACTGCTGCTTAATGTTATACTTACTGTGTTTTTAATTGTGTGTTTGATTGTACCTGTAGTTTTAATCATCTGTGAATCACTTTAGTTCCTTTTGCTGCATAGGAATGAAATAAATAATAAAATGTTTAGGAGTTCAAGTAAATTCTTTCTATGGCATCCCCTGTTTTATCCCAATTGCTGGCAGCTTTGTAATTCAACGTCTCTAAAGAACAGTCAATTCAATAAATGACTAATAAATCTCTATAGCTTCTGGCGGACAGCTTAATTTGCACTTGTCCTGATGATCATTTACAAATGGTAATGGCTGACACTTTTTCAACTTAGAACAGTTTGCTGCTTACAGATGTTTTAAGTGGGTGTTTTATATACTTAGATCTGCTCTCCTCCATTTCTTGTAAATACAACATCCCTAAAGGATTTGATAAGATAAGATCTGTACAGTAGAAAAAACTTGAAAGTGGACTTATCAAAGTGTTAAATTTGGGTGCGGTGTGGTATACAGAATCCAAATAGTTCTAGTCAATATAAAGTGATATAATGTTTCAGATGAACTGCTTATAGAAAGACAAATTGTATCAAGCTCAAATGTAGGGTGTTCCATTTCTAAAACGTGATCACCAAATAAAAGTACATAGGACAAAGAATGGAAATGGCAGTGCAGACTTTTGTACATCGTCAAAGAACTGAATCAGATTTGCCCTGTGAAGTCTTGATGTCCTGAACAAAATAGTTAAAGACTTTCCTTCTTTTCACAAAATTCCTTTGTACTGTTGAATTTAGTGTATTACCTTTGTGTGCCTGGGGGAATGAATTCATGATGCTTTCAAACACTGGTGCCACCAGGTTTCCTTTCTCAATAGACAAGTTTCCTTGCTTTTTTATAGGTACTTCTCAGCACATGTCTAGCAACAGAAGGAATTGCATCCAGTTTTACAATAAATGCTACAGGGAACTTGGACAAATTATTCTCTAGTTTCTCTATCCTTTATATTATTTAATCATATTAGAAAAAAAATGAATGAATTAATTAATGAATGAACTTGATTAAAAAAATGCCAGTGGATCATAAACAAAAAATATGTGTAAAAATTAAATTAATGCGAAAAGATGACCGAGTTTCTAAATATATATCCATGCACAGTTGATACCTTTATGTCTCAGCCACATACCAACACTAGTTTTCATTCCAATAGGAAAACATTGTTCACAAATATTATGATTGCCTCATCTGCACATGTACAGACACACATAGAGAGAGTTTTGTATTGTGTGAGAAAATCATGTTAGTAAAAAAGAGGGAAAAGAAAAGATAGTAAATGTATGTATACTTTTTGTATCTGAAGTGCTGATTGGTGAATAACACAGCTTTGTGTCAGGTTAAATGACATCTGCATTATCATGGGAAAGATCTCCATGCTTTGAGGAAAATTGGTGTCCTCATTTTTTAAAAAGAACTTTTGCATGGGCATTCAAAATTCTATTACCTTTTTGCCTCTGATGTTTGCTTTTCAATGTTATTTGTAGCAAACCAAAGCACACTTTTAAAGGAATGCCTCAACTGCTTTTTAAAAATTGTGAGTTTATATGAAGACATAACGTTCAGGATTCTCACATTTATCCCCCTATGACCTCCTACAAATGGAAAATAAAAGTTTATTTACAAAGATTTTGACACAGGGACTTAACTGGGGCCATCATCTTTCAAGCACTGGAAGAAAGGAGAAGGAAGAGTCAGAGTTTTGTGTATGTACATGCCGTTTGACATTAACAAATTATTTGACTGGTGAGCTAAAATTATCCTGTTCCATTCTTTCCACTTTTCAGGTTTTTTGAGTACTGGAGACCAAGCTGCAAAAGGCAACTACGGTTTGCTTGACCAAATCCAAGCTTTACGCTGGATTGAAGAAAACATTGGATCTTTTGGAGGAGACCCAAAAAGAGTCACCATTTTTGGATCAGGGGCAGGAGCATCCTGTGTTAGTCTACTGACGCTGTCTCATTATTCAGAAGGTAATAATAGTCTTCTTAATTAACTGCAAGTAATTCTGAACAGTAATAATGAATTGAAAAAGTCAGTGGCAGCTTCAAATAGCATACTTATGTCAAAATGGGCACCGTAAAGGCATATATTTTGCCTCATTGTTGTTGTGCCATAATTGCCTCTCATTTAGACTACTATAACAGACTTTCCATGGGGCAGCCCTTGAATACTGTGTGGAAAGCGAATACAGTGAAAATTGTGATACTCTTTCATGATCTTTTGAGACCAGGTGATACCAGTGCCGCATAAATGTCATTGGCTTCCAGTTTGCTTCTGGTACCAGTTCAAAAGGCATACAGAGCTTCAAGCAAGGAGATCTGAAATACTGTACCAGCTGCTCCGAAATGAGCCTACAGGGATTTTTCAGTCTCTGATTACTTATTACAACATACATTCAATCATATAAATTGCAGCAGCGAATCACTGCTAGTTGACTGGTTGCGTGCCAGTCATTTAAGTTAGTGAGTAACAAGGAATGTAAGTGGAAGCTGGTTAACAATAGCAACTCATGAGAAATATGTTTCCATTCATAGCTGGCATAATTAACCAATAGCATTCCAGCCAATATTGTTCAAGGCTATTTTGAATAATATTTTGTTTCTGTTTTTATTTGTTGTGACTTCACTTTATTTATTATTCCAAACTGCACATCACTTTGGGGTGTGGGTAGAAAAACCATTTTAAAAAGTGTGCTGCTTGTATACCACCCCATAGCACTTAAAGAACTCTCTGGGCAGTTTACAATTTAATTATGTAGGCTACACATTTCCCCTCCCCCCAGGAGCTGGGTACTCAATTTATCAACCTCAGAGGATGGAAGGCTGAGTGAACCTCAAGCTGGTTACCTAGGATTGAACCTAGGTTGCAAACAGAGTTTTGACTGCAGTATTGCAGGTTAAGCACTGCCCCATGAGGCTATTGAAAATACCGTTAGGCATGGCAGTAATATTAGTTTCAACTTAAATATTAATCTGCTGATTGCTGATTAAGATCTTGCTTTCAATGCAGCTAGGTATCTGGCAATCATGCCCATCTGAGAAGAGAACAAATAATTTGTAGATTATGGTCAAAAACAATTCAGAGCCAATTCTATTATGATTTGATTGCTAAGTTAAGAAAGGACTGATCTCAAGAGCTTAACTCCCTTCCTCCTCCCCATCGTTTCTGAAACGATGATGTAGCTTCTTCAAATGAGAAGTTACAAATTTATTTATTCATTCATTACATACATTTATATACTATCAAATTTCATGTAGGGTGGTTAACAACAAACATAAACAATGCATCCCGCAATTCTCAGCAACCGAAAAAAGCATTAACAGACACATAAATAAAAAAATCATAAGAAACCAGAATCTAAAAATAACCTGTATTATATTTATTACTCTTTCTTCTTGAATGGCTATGCTACACTTTAGTGAGGCAAACCCTCCTTAGACTGGTTCTGGGTTGCTTCACATCACTGGAGCATAGCAGAGACGTTTCACAGTGCCACTGAATCTGATCCCAAATTCCCATCTCCTGTAAGAGGATAAAAAGAGCACAGTTACAGTCTAATTTATTGATCTAGTCAATGGTTGCCTGATCTATATAATGAGAAAGATATATATATAATGAGATATATAATGAGCAAGATTTTACATAGGAAAAGTCCCAGAATTAGATTCCTTTTAGCCTAACATAGTTTTTTTGCAAATTAAATTATTCCCTCTTTCTGAGAAACAGGGAAAACAAATGTACAGTTTTCCTTTGGCAAGTCCTCCATACAAAGAGATGATTGTTTGCTGTTGTCATCCCTGTAAAGTCCTTGGTCACGAATCTCCAGACAGTGAAGTGACTTGTACATAGAGATGCTTGTGGAACTGACCAGTAAATGGCTTTAGTGCCTTGAAACACGGGTCTCTCTCTCTCTCTCTCTCTCTCTCTCTCCTTTTTTTTAAAGTAACCATTCCTGGAAACAAATTCCTAGTTCTTCTCCCACACCCACAAACAACATCACCTGTCACCCAAAACAGACAATCAGCTTTTGAAAACCAAGGCAAGTTCCTTACACCAGCTGTGGGCATGCCGATCAGGCAAAGACAATGAGCAGTGAAGGAAATGAGAACTAGAGCAACTTCCAAAGAGCTGGAATGGAGAGGAAAGACTTGTCATTTTCTGCAAAAGGGCTTTGGTCCGATCAATGGTGGGGGCAGTGTCAGATACCAGTAGTGTTTTTAAACCCATTTACTCCTCCATTCATGGAAACAGAATGATATGTTTTACCAACATGTCGATTAAAACAAGCTGTGGGAGGAAACAGTTCCTGCCAAAGTGAGTTTTTGTCCCAGCGTCATCTGCAGAGGGCCGCCTTTCTCACATGCTAACAATTGGGTGGAACCTGTCTACTCAAATGCTTTGACAGATCTTTACTGGCTTTCATACTAGTCACCGAACATCCAAAGATCATTGAGGACTGAAAATAAGTCTGGAGCATGGTTGGAAAATAGAAAGATTGGAATTTTAGAAGAGGTAGCCGTGTTGGTCTTTGCAAGCTGATCAGGCAAAATGCAAAGAAACAAAACAAAAAGACAAAATCATGTGGCACCTTAAAGACTAACTATTATAACCCTTTTGTGGGTTGAAATTACAGTTTTTACATAGACAGGACATAATTCAGTCAGCAGCACCAAGTGAGTCTGTTCTAGGTTTTGTTTTGTTTTCTCACCTAAGAACCAGACTCTTGGAATGGAAAGTGCTACAAATCATAGTGTCTGTGTTACAAGTTGTCACCTGGGGCCACCTTGTAAACAACAAAGATGGCTAGGAAATATGTTGATGACAAGCCGGAGGTCAACTTATAAGTGCAGTTTTCAGCAATGTGAAATGAAACAGAATTGTTCTCTCTTTCTAGTAGACTAGGGCTCATTAGGAAGGGCATGTGACTTGCTGGTTGATGCATTGTGGGGTGTATTGGTTTGTTATTTTTTCCAGTCACCACATGATGTAATCACCAGAATGTACCAATTTGCCTCCAGAGTGCTCTAACCTTCACCTTTTTGAGTCCCTGAGAGGGGCTTCTGGTTTTTTGGTGTCAGTTGATGCATTCTAGTTTAGTTCATTCCCACTAGAAGTTATCAGAGCTATCAAGCTTCTTCCACTGTCAGTTTCTAGTACTGTGAAGACTTAATAAATAAGTTGCTTCAAAATATCTGAAAAGTGAACACTTCCCATGCTCTTCTGTGGATAGGGTGGGAGAAGTGGTATTATTTTTTCATTTTGCTAGTTTATCACTGTTGCACTGAAGCACTTAGATTAAATTGGAAAAAAATCTTTGCCTTTGTTTGAAGTGCTGATATGAACCATGGCCGTGGGCAGTTTCTCAATTGACACTACACACAAAGCAAAATAATTGAATAAATCAAAGTGATTTAGTGCATCAACAATGATCTAGCACAGGCAATACTAATATTTTCACTTCCAATCTGATGGTTCTGTGAGGTATTGAACAATTGGATGCTTCTTCTTAGCATCTTCCTCCGACAGCTGTTGGAGCTGTTTGCCTGTTCCCACTTCGTGTATCACCTCACGGGCACAGACACACACAGGAGCACAGATAAGAAGGGGAGAATACACATGCCTCCTCTCACCTGGATGTTTTTATTCCCCTCCTCTCTCTCTCTCTCTCCTGTTGTCTCCCTCTCCTCCTTTTTCTGCTCACTTCTTCCTTTCCTGACACAGAAGGAAAGGGGGTGGCTCCTATTACAGGTCAAAACCTGTATCCTGATTTGGTCTCCAGGAAGGGATCAGGCAAGATGCAAACAGCTGAACCGAAGCCTAATTTTATTGAGAATAAGCAATGCAAGGTCAGCTGGGACTGCACTGTCTGGAGGAATGTGTGAGGAATGTGTATTCCATTTCCCTTATCTGTATGTTGCCTTCCTGGGCCTGCATGTATGGTCTTCAACCTCAGGCTCTCCTGCTGGTTTTATGTTGTGACTATCTCCTCCTGGCAACATTCCTAAGCCTGGCCTTCTGCTAATCAAAAATGAGTGTGCAGAAGGCGAGAAACAGGGAAACAAAAGGAACTTTATACTAGCAAAGCATACTTTTCTCTGGCTAAATCTGAGAGACCTATTTACCTCTAAAACTGTGTTTGAGCATATCCAGGTATCACTGCCGCACCGTGAGAATCATGTCAAATGGCATATTGCTCCACCCCCTGACCATGCCAGCCTGCACCAAAAAAAGCCTGTGAGGACAAGCCCTAAATTATTTTGATTATGTTTGAGAAAAATATGGACAGAAAATCCCAACCAATTGTAGGCCAATCTATAGATTTAATGCTGGCAGGGCTCGAAGTTCTGTCTCTTGTCTATATTGAAAACAGTGTTTAGTACAGTGTAGTGAATATTTGTGATGTCATGCTCAGTGCCGTTATGACGTACATTATAATGAATATTTGTGAAACATGTTCACACTTAGGCACTGGATTTTATGTATACCATATATATGAACATTACCTAGGAAGAATTTAGCTGGTAGATTAGCCAACAAGGAAAATCTAATGATGGGGGTAGGATCTGAAATTAAAACATTTTATTTTATTTTTGTACAAACAGCATTGCATTTACTTTTCACTAGAATGTACTTCCTCTGGAAAACATACAAAAGATTCTTCTTTTTAATCAATGCTACTTGTTCATGTATTTTAATTTTAACTTCTGCACCTGCAGGTCTGTTCCAAAAGGCAATCATACAGAGTGGAACAGCCCTGTCCAGCTGGGCAGTGAACTACCAGCCTGCCAAATATACTGCAATCTTGGCAGAAAAAGTGGGCTGCAACACGCTGGACACTACAGACTTAGTGGAATGTTTTCGGAACAAGAACTACAAAGAACTCATTCAACAAACGATCACGCCAGCTACATACCACATTGCCTTTGGGCCTGTGATTGACGGGGATGTAATTCCAGATGATCCTCAGATTCTGATGGAGCAGGGAGAATTCCTCAACTATGACATCATGCTAGGTGTAAACCAAGGGGAAGGATTAAAGTTTGTAGACGGCATTGTGGACAACGAAGAGGGTGTCTCTCCAAATGATTTTGATTTCTCCGTATCAAATTTTGTGGACAATCTCTACGGTTATCCAGAAGGGAAAGATACTCTGCGAGAAACCATTAAGTTTATGTACACGGACTGGGCAGACAAAGAGAATCCTGAAACTCGGAGAAAGACTCTGGTCGCTCTGTTCACTGATCACCAGTGGGTTGCGCCAGCTGTTGCCACTGCAGACCTGCATGCCCAGTATGGTTCTCCAACATATTTCTATGCATTTTATCACCACTGCCAGAGCGAAATGAAACCCAGCTGGGCTGACTCAGCCCATGGTGATGAAGTTCCTTATGTCTTCGGCATTCCTATGATTGGCCCTACGGAGCTGTTTAATTGCAACTTCTCAAAAAACGATGTCATGCTCAGTGCCGTTGTTATGACGTATTGGACAAACTTCGCCAAAACTGGGTAGGTTTGCCGCATAATGGCCTTTGCATGCACCATTCTTTAGAAATTCTGGAGCTGTCCCTTTGACCTTCTAATGATATGTGGCAAGTGCTGTTTCTGTGGGGGGAGGGGAGTGTCCTTGCTTCATAGAATATTTCTTGTGACAGAATTAAAACCACGTGTACACAATAATGTTACGCAAGGCCAAATTAAATGACTTTGTCGAGGGTGCTTGTCTGAGAGTGTAAGGAGGAATTTGTGAGCTGATATTCTCTGGTCCTGTAAATTCCTCTGGTATAAAACATACGTTTATTGTTCTTTCCCTGGGCTGTCTATTTTCACTAGATGAGCCGACATGGTGCTTGAAGGGCCTGGGGCAGCTCTGCCTGTGCTAAAGAAAGTTTTTTGAAGTCATCCATAGGAGGTGGTGATAGGGCAGTCAGCAACACTGAAGGGAGCAGTCGAAGAACCCCAGTGCCAGCTATGGTACAGGCTCATAAAAGAGGCTAAAACAGGCTAGCCCTCTCACTCTACTGAGAAGCTTGCCAGGAAGGGGAATCCTCATGCATTTGTGGGAAGCCCCGAGTATCTGGGTTAATTAAAAAGATGGCCAAAAGGAACAGGGAATGCTCAGTAGTCAAAGCCTGAAAAAGGCACCACTATGGACTGGAGCTCCAACCACTGACTATGCTGGCTGGAAAAGTCTGAGAACTGTAGCCCAGAAAAATAACTCACTGAAGGTCTTACTAAAGCATGATGGCCAGGAATAGTGATGGGCACAAACTGCGATTCAGTGATTCATCTGCATAGCTATTCTCTGGGTGGTCCGGCTTCCCTTGCCTCACCCCTCCGGTGGGCGCCCACTCAGAGGCAGTGGCAAGGCTTCCCAGCCCAACCTCCTCTGGGCACTGCCTCTGGAAGGGCACCTGCCAGAGGAAGAGGTGAGGCAAGGGAAGCTGGAGATACCCATAGAACAGCTAAACTGCACCAAACCACAGTTTGTGCACATCTCTAACCAGGAATCAGTCTGGTGGACAGAGTGCCTGAAGAACTATAGATGGAGGCTCGTAACATTGTACAGGAGGCAGCAACAAAAACCATCCCAAAGAAAAGGAAATGCAAGAAAGCAAAGTGGCTGTCCAACGAGGCCTTACAAATAGCAGAGAAGAGAAGGGAAACAAAATGCAAGGAAGATAGGGAAAGTTACAGAAAATTGAATGCAGACTTCCAAAGAATAGCAAGGAGAGACAAGAGGGCTTTCTTAAATGAACAGTGGCAAAGAAATAGAGGAAAATAATAGAAAGGGGGAAAACAGAGATCTGTTCAAAAAATAGGGGATATTAAAGGAACATTTGTGCAAAGATGGACATGATAAAGGACAAAAATGGTAGGGACCTTACAGAAGTCCCCAAGAAGAGGTGGCAAGAATACACAGAGGTGGCAAGAATACAAGAATACACAAGAATACATGACCCCTCCAATTTGCTTTAGCCAACTAATGATTTAGTTCTTTGTTATGGCTATACTACACAACTACATTGCTATAAGTTGTCTGTGTACATAGAGGAAGTGACAGCAAAGATACAGTGATATCTAAGATTTATTTGTCATTTGGAAATTTCTTGGCACTGGGACAATTTGGCAGATTTGGAGAGAATGAACATGAGTGGTCACATTGCCGTAGTAAATGAGCCACATTGTATGAGCATTCAGCTAAGCAATTATAAAACAAAGTCTTTTTCTACACAATTAAAGTGTTCACTAAAGTTAACAGACAGTGCTTGTAAAATCAAGCATGTAGATATTAATATATGGGATATTAAAAACAAAAAACCTCCTGGGGTGTCAATAGTCTTCTATCTGCTTATTATTTATATTACTGCTGTTATTATTCCTGCAGAGTGCTAACAAGTCAGACTTCAGCATTTATCTAAGGATTACCAAAGCTCCCACATGATCCCATCTGTCAGTATTACTCATAATTTCAAGCTATTTTCCACGGCCTGGCTGCTCAAGTGCTAATTTCAGCAGGGTGTATATAGTCTCTTGGGTCTGGCTTTCTACCATACTTCCTAAAGACAGCACAAATGTTTAGGAAGGGTCATTAATCATTTTAGCATGCACCCAACTGATAAAATGATTACTTGGTAGAAATGAGATTGACTATAACAAATAGTCCTCTTCTGAATTCACCCTTATTTGACAATAAGTGCTTAGAGCTGTGTGACCTTGAAATCCCACCTGTTCAGAAGAAAACATCCAATTTTTTTGGTCAGGTCTCTCTCTCTCTCTCTCTCTCTCTCTCTCTCTCTCTCTCTCTGTGTGTGTGTGTGTGTGTGTGTGTGTGTGTGTGTGTGTGTGTGTGTGTGAGAGAGAGAGAGAGAGAGAGAGAGAGAGAGAGAGAGAGAGAGAGAGAGACTGTGATTATTAAAGGAAATTATCGCATGTATAGTTCCTGGGAAAATTAATACAAAATTAGTACAATGTATGCCATGTTTCCTTTTTTTAAAAAAAAGAAAGGGAAAATTACCTTCATGACAGAAAAAATGTGTCTGTATAAAATAAGGTCAAGGTCCTGCACCTACTGTTAGGGAAGTGAGAAGTACTCATGTCTAAAATATATACCAACTAGAGAAAAGAATTTCAGAAGAAAAGAACAGGCTATTTGTGGATTTCTGGGTCAGCTACAGGGTGATTCAGGAAGCCACAAGTCACCCTTGAGTTGTTTTTCAATCCCCTACAAATCCCAAAAATTTACTTCAGTAATTTCATGGGGTAAAATGCTGAAATTTGGGAAAGAACAAATCCAGAACAAATCTTAGTATTAGTTGTTGTAGAAAGAAGAAGACAAGACCAAAGCAGGAGATTGACAGCCAGGGCCTCAATCATCATCCCTGGATAGGATTAAGACAGAAAGTCCCACACTGGGTCCTTCACCAGAGTCTATGTATTTCCACACACCTGACTAAGCAGCCATTTCATATCCAGGCATAACAGAGGAACAGTTGTTTACATCAGTTACTAGACTGGTAATGTTCTAGATTTTCTTCACTACACTGTGTCTTTGCTATACAGTCATGCCCCGCTTAACAATTGCCTTGCTTAACGAGGAAATCACTTTACAATGAGGTTTTTGTGATCGCAAAACAATGTTTTAAATGGTTTTTTTTTTTTTGCTTTGCGATGATTGGTTCCCTGCTTCGGGAACCAATTCTTCACAAAATGGTGTTTTTTGAACAGCTGATCGGCAGCTTCATAATGGCCGCCGGCTTTCAAAATGGCCCCCTGCTGTTTTCTAGGGATGGATTCCTTGCTTTACAGGCACCGAAAATGGCCGCCGTGTACATAGGACTGAATGCATGTGCAAGAATGTGGAGTGGATGACTAAGTAACTCTCTTGTGTGGGCTTTGATTGCATAAGTGAAAGTAGCAATAATACCCACCATCATGCATTGTTTCCCTCAAACCATCATCCTGCTATCACCCCCCCTTTTAATTTTTTTTTTAATGTTTTCTCTTTTCTGCACAGGAAACTGCCAAATGTTATGTGGCTTAATACCCTTCCCAGTGAATCCTTCACAGAAAAGAAGTAATTGTGCACAAGAATTGTTACAGTCCTGGCCAGCTGGGCATTTCTTCCAGAAAAAAACTGACTTTAGAACATATGAGAACTCCCATGAAATTTCCCTTGAGATTTTTTTTAGGCGTGTGGAGTTTTGCAGAGAAAAATCTTGTTGCCAGAAGAGTGATTTTGTGTCTTGTTTCTCCCCCCCGCCCCGCTCCAAGAGCAGATTAGGAGAGTCACATCTATGCCTTTCAAACACAGAGAAGAGAAGAGATTTCATTTTAACCATTATGCTTGTTTGGCACATTGTCATTTGAGTATTCAAATCACAGAGGGCCTGTGTTGACTCTTCAGAGTCCACTATAGGTCACATCCCTGCCGAAAGCAGATTTATGCATCTAAGCAAAATTACAAATGATTGAAAGCTATCATTGCTCCGGACTAGACATGGGCTTTTCATATTTGTATCCTTGGGTATACAAATATGAATCGCGGTGCCACGGAGACCCATTTCTTCTGCCAAGAACTGGTCAGTCTACTCATTGGTTGCCACACGGCTCTCAGGAAGTAGCCCAACCGGCGCTTCCCCACCTCCCCATGCAACTGACCACTTATCAGCTGAGTGGGGAGATTCCCTGTCCCACCTACTCACCGGAGTGGTTGACTGCACGGGGAGGTGGGGAAGTGCCAGCTGGGTTTCTTCCCAGATTGGTGTGACAATGTCAACAAAGGACCCAAGCACTGTGTTGCAACCAGTGAGTGGACTAACCAGTTCTGGGGGGAGGGACTGGACCTCTCGGACCAGTTCTGGGGGGAGGGACTGGACCTCTGTGATCTACCCCTGACTATAGTTTCTGCTGGAATGATGAAATATCATAGCCCTCTCCCTCTCTCACACACACATCGGGTAAAGGTCTAATCCAATAACCTTACTATTCCTACTGGCATTATTTATTTGCAGTCTTTTCCAGAACATCAAAGTCTCTTTAAGCCAGCCAGCAAGCAAAACTCTCATGCTGGATCCTCTCAACCACCTTCATGTAGGGCAGGAAAAGACCATTATTTTAGGCACTGGACAACTGCTGCCTAGTGAGAACAATGGACAACTGGTTGTGTAGTAGTCTGAGTATCTAAGGAACCAGATTCATATAATCATGTAGATCATGTTTCATTTTTTTAAAGCAAATCCTTCAGTAAGAATAAAGACTTGATATTAATGAAATTCTTCACCTATTCCTATTTTATAGAAATACCAACGAAAGTTCACCATGTTACAAGGGTTATTAACCCCTCAGCTCTCTCCCCTTACTTTTATTTCTGTTCTATCTCTTCTTTTCTCCCAACCTCCACATTTTCTTTCACACTGCTTTTTCACACATTTTCTTTCATACTGCTGTTTCTTAGAAGAAGGAAAACTCCGATTTCAAACCTCCACTGTCTTGTGGCTGTATCCACT